GGGGATTTCGACCAGAAATCTAGGGGAAATACAGTTTTATTGGATTTGACGAAGGGTTCGTTTGAAATGGGTTTGAGTCTTTAGGATTTAATTGTGTTGCCCCAAAGAGAACCATGCCTTTTCTGTAAATACAGTTCAGAGCCGCCTTAAGTTTATGGGGGAACTTTAAAGTGGCTCTGGTACTCAAGATGTCCAAAAAATAATGATTTACAGACATAATTTTAGAATATTTTAATACCATTTTCATTGGAGAACACACGAAATAAGTGTGTTCATATCACTCTACCCAAGCACTGGTGTTAAAAAATACCAAAAGCATTTTGAGCCTCTTAACACAGGGCATGAGTAAGATGACAGCTGCAATGTACCTTATTTCCAAGATATTCACAAGTCTTCATATCAAGATATGCTCCAAAACCGTTGCAAACGAGAACATCCATGATCCACTATTAAAAGAATAAGTGTCTTACATAAATTTCACAGAATAAATAGTTTCTAAACACACCAAAAGCCAAAGAGACCAAAAAGTGAAGTCAGGCAGAGTAGGCAAACAGCGTAAAACGCGTGAAAACGCGAGTGATCGAGTCCCGCGATTGGTTAAGAGGATGGCACGAGTTTAAGGGGACCAATCAATGCTCAGTGGAGTAAAATAAACCCAATGCACTCCCGGATTACATAGGGCACTTACTAGAGAATTGTTCTAAAGCAAGACACACCAAACAATCTGTCACTTTCAGTTTATTAGTGCGCCCACAATTTGACCCACACTACATCCTTTGTCCATATTTATTTATCAAAATCGCGTATTAACATGTTTCTCTACCATAAACTAGAAAAATACGTCTTTTAACTTAGTATCGAGTGTTCATGCCTACATTAGGTGAGTGCCTTCAGTTACTTCAACCAATAAATGTTGAGCTAAAATTATCACTCGCTATACACGATCGTAAATTTTACTAAAACAGGCACCTGGTTTCTTCACGCTAATAGTGCAAAATTTGACCACTACTACATAAAAATCCAGAAGGACAATGCTAATAATTAAGCACAGGATCGAAAAAAAATGCTTCTGCCTTGTGAAAAATTTGTCTATCCTTGAATAATTTTCGTTTAACACCAACCACGCATTACAGATACATTAACTAAGGTTTTGGTTCTTGATGTGAATTAATCAAAAGTACATATTTCTTAGGTTCGGTTGGAGATGTAAAAATATTTGCGGCCCCTGTCTCGGTGATAAGAAACTAGAATTTCCTCCTCTTCTTCTTCTTTTCAGGCGTCACACTTTGAAATATAATTTGAGTCTGGCCCTCCTACTACAGAACATAGATATCACATCACTCTCCTCCCATATTGTTTATAAATACGCAATACACAAGCCTTGATCTTCCTTGGTTAACGAGAACCATTTTGATACCTTCACTTAACAATTGGTCATATGATAAATATTTCCCGTGAATAAAAATACGCTGAAATTTCATGGAACCCAGTTGAGCTAACTAAATGAATGCCTTGTCTTCTACCCCAGTGTAACAAAAAGCATGACCGTAAAACATTCACAACAGTTCAGCGAGATACGCCGAATTGTTGGTGTGTTCACTGATAGGTAGCACATAACAAATCCGTTCACTGATAGGTAGCACATAACAAATCCGTCGCAGTTGGCGATCGCATGTTTCAAGGGGCATCTTGCTGGAAGAGAAATGGCGCAACACCCTTTTTATCCCGGCTGGGTGTCTCTCCATGTGATCGCCACTTGCAAGGCATACATTAATTACAAGCGGCAAACAAGAACAAATTAGCTCGTTGGGATCGTTCCGATTGAATACGAATTGATTCTTTCACACAAATTTCTCAATATATTGTTAAAATCATTATTCTCTTGACAGGACAAAAAGAAACATAACCAAAAAGAAAAACGTAGAACTGAAAAGTTCATGACGTTGATAATGAGGATGACGATACTGAAAAATTTGAAACTAGCCGTGAACGCACTGTTTGAAAATCATTCTCAAAAATTGGCAAATTACGTTCTTTGAAAATCATTCTCTAGAATTAGCAAATTAATTTATTACGCTTGAAGGAAAAGCGCAACCTGCCCTGATGCTGATGAGAACAAAAATCCAAAGGGAATTTTCCCCATTTTTATTTATCCTAAAAATCTTGATCAGTATTTAATCATTCTCGAACATTTTGTCAAAAATTCATTCATGTTTTGGTCTGTGATCTGCGTTAATAATACCACTATCGGTTTCTTTATCGTGATTGATACGAAAGCCGCCGATAATCGAAGGCCAAAATTGCCACACCGTCCACGCAGTCCAAGAGCCGAGGAAAAGAAGCCAGAATACTGTCACGTGTGTAGGAAAGGGTATAGTGATGGTTTCCCAACCGAATTTAACGCAGATTAGCACTTCTGTTGCAACAATAGCCGCGACCACCCAAGCCTGCTGTCCAAACCGCTTACAAGTGCTGAAATGAAAAGAGAGCAACGGAGATTTACTAATACCTTAAAGCTTCTTACGACTATTTTTCTACAAGAGATCAGTTAAGTCCTCATCTAGGAGGTCTTTTAATAGCCGACCAGTTTCGCTTTTTAAGCCAGGCTGTAAATTTTTACGTACCATCACTCCAGTCGATCACGCTAGCTATGTTTTATTTTTATTATTAAGTTGGACACCAATTCACTCCCTTACTTACATAAATTTCTAAAACTAGTAGCCTACGTGCTGGCCCTCATTACAAGGGCTGTAAGACAGATGCTACCTGTCCCCGGGAAAATTTGAAACGAGTCGTGGAGAGGTTTGTCGGGGGTCTGGCACTAATAATCAATTCCTAACCGTCCCTTGCAGACCTCTCGCAAGCTCACGTGCTTTAAGCTTTCCCGCGAGCGAGGAAACACTGGTGCCGAAGCGTTAATAAAGATGAGCACCTGCTTGCAGGCTACAACATTAGTAACTTACGGGTCGTCCATGTATCTAAATGTTTCATTCAGTGCCACAGCTCCCATCCCAAGGTACAGTGCCATACGAACTTGCATGATGAAATGAGGAGGAGGAATCCACAAAATAAACTTCAAGTAAAACAAGTTTAACTCGGCCATAAGGAACTGAAAAATTAATTAAAAGCTTTTTAGCGTATTTGATTGCAGACACGAAACAGAGCAAGTAATCCGAAATTGCATTGATTTGCTTTACTTCGTTAGGTGATTGGTCCAGAGAACTCGCGCCACTTTCTGAACCAATCAGATTTCAAACCAAAACCAATTGCAACTTGGTCACCCGCGTTTTCCCGCGCTTCAGGTAGCTTTCTTATTTTTACTTAAAAAACTCATTGGTTCCTGGTGATATTTTCCTTGCTATGCCAGGCTGTTTTGATCGCTTCGGTGTTGGTTTTACGACACTCATTTGAAAAGCGTTCTCAGACCCCAAGAACAGCAGGATTTTCCACATACCACAGCAGCAATTCCACAGACAGCCAGCCATCTTGTAAGGCTTGTAGTGGCTTTCCAATCGTAAGATGTCCACGAATAAGGAGTAAATTGAGCAGCAACTCTTTTGAACATGCCACTGAGAAAAAAAATTGTTATAAAAGGAGTGTTCAAAAATTAGAAGATAAAAGCAAATAGTTATTTGAGAGTAGAACGGAAGGCGTAAGATTGAAGACACCTCATATCAACTTAATCTCGTCACCTAATTCACGATTTCCACTGTTGATTCATAATACATACTGTACAGTTTTGTGCAGTTCCGAAATCACTCATTCGTCATCAAGTCTACTTACATAAGTTCTTTCGGAAAGCTAGAGAGATTGTTTTTGTAATTCATGTGTTGTTTTCAAGCTGTTATCATGTTCAAAAGTGACAAATCCCTTTTGCCGTTGCGGAAAAAGAAAATTTATTCGCAATTTGCATCGAAGTGGAAATTTTGTTCACTGATAGTGACAGGGGTTCCTATTAGACTGAAGAGATTCATTGGCCAGAGTCTATGTCTATCGAAGTAGCTGTGGGCGCTAGTTCGCGATAAATTTCGCCGACAGTCCATCACCATTCGCGTAGCATTGCACTTCGAGCATCGATCGTTGAAAAGCTGTTTTAAATTGTGTTTGGAGTGTAGCTCTCCTTCTTCTACCTGACCTCTTTTCTCCTCTTTTTGCTCCTTCCATATCGTCATAAGTAGCTACACATCCACACGTGTTACTTAACCTTCTCGACCTAACTCCTTGGTGGCTCTTTGCCTCTAGCACACGTCAGCAAAACAGTCTCAAATGGCTCTCTCCGATGTGATTAGGTAACAGCCTTCATAGAAGTGACCAACGCCCCGAAAAAAATCTGGTAAAGTGTTTTGGCTTGAGTTCTGATTTGTAATGATTTTATTCCTGGCTGATATTCGGTAAATAACGAAGCGCTAAATGCAAATTGCAAACCTTCTCTTTTAAGTCAATATGTGCGGATCACGTTCCGATAAAAAAGAAACGTGTTGATTAAAATGCGTCGTCAAATAAACGTATCTCGAAAAACGTCTCGGCGTGAATAAATAAGCTCCTATTTTGTTCTGTGGTAAAAATCAAGAAAATAATAAGTTACATATCCGAAATCAGTGTTCATTAAGCTTTAGGAAAATGTAGACTTTTACAGGGTTGGCGCGCATAATTTTCACGCTACCTCAGTTTGAATGGAAAAGCTAATTTTCCTTCTGTGATACCTCAAACCTTAAGCGTAACACCTACTGATGAATTATTCTTCCTTCTAGGTGTCCTTAATTTCTTCTTTATTTGGCAGACAGAATTTGATGTTCGATCAAGCGAACAAAACTCTTCAGATGATAAGTTTGTCACTTCCAAACAATATGGTATTTCTGACGATTGAGTCTGCGAATAAGGCAGAAATAAATATTTTGTCGGCACGAGATACGACAAAGCCTGGGCCTTGGGCCCGAGCATCATGGGTAATGATGCAGTGGTATATAAGGGGGAGTAAACACGTGGTGTCCATCTAGGCCTCAGAATCAACCGTCCACCTCTGGCTGATGACAAATTTATTTTAGTTTGAAAAATTATTTTCTTCAACTGTGAAGCCTCGTAGGACGGGCTGCCGACTGCTCTAAGTTTGGGCCATGGTTCCTACCCAGATTTCCTGTCATATTTTTTCCCCAAAGGCGTTTTTTCTGGCAGGTTTTTTCTGGCCTCCGTATAACTGTATTAATGTCCTTGTAAGCGGTTAATTGTAAGCGGTTGTAAGCAGTTAATCCCGACTTGCTGAAGTATGCATGTTAGTAATGTATACCTATTTTTGAATGCGTAAGGAATCGACTGTTTATCAGGATTGTATATGGAATATCAGTAGCGAATGTATGTATGTATGCACGCCTCGGGCAATATATGCCTCGGGTTCGTTCTCGGCAGGCTTCCCTAAATAAACTTATTTGATGTTCACCACTATGTTATTTGTTGTGAGGTGGAGACTAAATATGCTGGATGATGCATTGATCTTGTGAGGATAAATTTACATTTAAGAAACCCCTGGGAGTTACAGAGTTAAATTAAAAACAAAATCAAAGTCACGAAACCGAGATGTCCATCTCACATCTGATGTTCAAAGCTGTCAACATTTGAGGGCCTTCTTATTAATGCCAAAATGACGTTAGCTGATGTCATGATTGAGGGACCGAGATGAATTGTTCATGTTATCAACCGTCTAAAGGAGTAGTGAGCGTGACGAACGTTTTAGCCTCACCTTGCGAATGTTACTATTGGTCCATGCCAAATGGCCACTATTCAATGACGTCACTGTTTACGAGTGTCTATCGATAACTTGGTTCTCTCGTAAAGTCGAACCGTTTAAGACTACTACGACATTCTGAGCGCCATGGAACGGCAAAATTGTTATGTTTCATCGACTATCAACACTGCCTCTGAGGGTTACAAGCAAAGCTCTCGTACTATGCAAAACGAATCTGGTAAAATGTTCATAGAGACCGAAGTTCAACCCCAAGCCGGAGACACGATCTTAGACCTCGGTTGTGGCACAGGAGAGCTGTCTGCATATCTTGCTCTGCTTGTTGGAAACAGTGGAAAGGTTGTGGGTGTTGATCCTGACAAACTTCCCTGGTATGGGCTCAGAATCCTACGACATTATCTTCAGCAACTACGTGCTGCACTGGATCCAAGACAAATCCAATGCGTTTCGGAATATGTACGCGAGCCTAAAGCGGAATGGTCATGCCAAAATTGCAGCTCAGTACGTCAGCTATCTATTCCCATTCATGACAAGCGCCTTTAAGGAACTGAATCCAGAAAATGCCGAACATTTACTTGACATGTTCAATTTTGAAGCGAGGTCAACGATCGAGCAATATTGTTCAGCAGCCGGGTTTGATATTGTCAAAAGTTATGATGCTCAGATCGCACAATGTGTGTTTGAGAGCACTGAGGCGCTTTTGAAGTGGCTTTGGTCCACTACACATGGTGCTTTTGATCCTTCGCTCGTAACCGAAGATCGCTTACAGAATTATTATCCATATTCAAGTCGAAATGGTCAACCTCCATTTGATTTCAGCGGAATTGAAGAGGAGTCAACTATTTGTCGATTGGTGGCCAACAAACAAGTTTCTTAGAACACCACGAAACGTCTGTTTACTTACACTAACATCAATTGTCTGTTTGAGGACGAAAGAATTATGTGCATGTCAGGTAATTTGAGGAGAA